TGTCTAGCTCTTTTTTATATATACGTACTCCTGCATGTGAACTGGCCTTGTGGCCTTGAACTTGTGCTCGGAATGTGTGGTGACTTTGTGATCCACCCTGAGCTTGCTTTGCTTTGCTTTGCTTGACTGGTCTTGTGACCCCTTGTTCTCCCCCACTTTGCCTATGGGGGTGTGTCAGAACATTATAGCTCATGCATATTGTGTAGGCTATAGTGGGGTAGCCCATAAGGGGTACAACCCAATTAGAGTTAGTACTTGTACACAATTCATTCCATAGTTCATTCTTTCTCGTTTCAATTTTCTCAACTTGTGCTAGTGCGATTCTGCTTGTTGCCGGCGTCGTCCGCGTCCGCGTAGCCGACCAGTTTTAGAGTTTCGGGTCCTCCTCCAATCTCCATAGCGAAATCGCGCTTGTCGGTGAGATAGGAGAGGCAGCGATCGACCTCGCGCCAGTGCTGATCGCTCCTCACCGTCAGACCAGACCCCAGCTTGCTACACGCGAAAGCAATGTCGGGCCGAGTTGTTTTGGCAGCGAACTGCAATGAACCGACCTTCTGACGGTACTCCTCTTCTTCGCGAGACTGGAAGTCCTTATCGTCGAAAGTCAGCTCCGCGTAGGCGTCCACGGAATTAGGCGTCTTCGGACGTCGACCAGTCTGCTCCTCGTCGATGAAGCGCCTACGCCGCTTGTCGACATAGGACTGCTGGTGCAACCACCAGGGTGCTTGCCTATACCCACCCAAAGGAGTTGTTTATGTTGGCCTTTGTGGTTGTGTTATGTTGCTCAGTGAAGATCTACACTACACGCCATTGTATGGCAGTGCGCATTGTGGCAATGGGGCATCGCTGGCCATGCATGGGGGAACCCATATCTAGCACTCTTGCCAGACATCATGCACATGGCGGATCTCGGAATATTGGACCACATTGTCAAGTGCATCCGTAAAGCGTCACCGAGGTCCCTCAAGAAGCTCGACACGTAGGTTCATCTTTGTTCTTTTCGAACCTGAATAGCTGTATCTGTCATTTGCGGTAAGGATGTGTATCATTCTTGATGGTCATCCTATCAGGGTTTCAAAACTCCTCACCAGTACTTTCCCCCTACCAGGAGGCTGCAGAACTTGCGTGAAGCTACACGCATCAACACGATGCGATTTCCCGATGAGTACTTTTCGAGCAATGCGAATGTCCCAGCATTTGAGCATAGGGCTGTGATGCATGTAGGACGCACCTTCAATGGCTGGTAGGTGTGGGATGCAGGTAGGACACTCCTTAAATGGCTGTGATGCAGGTAGGTGTGGGATGCAGTTAGGACACACCTTAAATGGCTGTGATGCAGGTAGGTGTGGGATGCAGGTAGGACACACCTTAAATGGCTGTGATGCAGGTAGGTGTGGGATGCAGGTAGGATGCACCATAAATGGTTGTGATGCTGGTAGGGCTGATGTTGCATGGTTGCATATGCATATGTTATTGCATACGTTCAAACCTAATCATGTGAAATGATAATGCAGTACAAACTGACGTAAACCCTCTCCATTCTTCTTCCCTGCATATCTCAGTTAATGTTGTTGCATACCTATGTTTCAGAGCCATGAACTATGCAGTATGCTCCTCTGCCATGATTTTACTTGCTCATACAATCATATGATCCTTGCCATTGCCAATACACCATGAAACCTACACCATAGGTTCTGATTTTTTTGGTGGCCGACATACTAGATGCGGGACAACTAGAGGCGATTCGTGCATACATTGACTGGTATATTTGGTGCAACAAAGACCTCCACACGGAGAGCACTTTACAAGAGCTGAAACGGAAGGCAGCAAGGTATGCTCACTCCACCCTAAACACATATTCTTGGTTTTCTCTTAACCCGAAACCAAGAGAGCTTGCCTTGTGCATGTACGTAGCCTCGCATATTCATCAACCTTTCCTTGTGCCTGCCCATACACTCCAGGCTGGTGAAATTGTTGGTGAAAGCCTTTCCCCAACAAGCATCTGACTGGAACCTCATTAAAACTCACCTCATGTCACATTTTGTTCCCGCCATTCGGCGAGCCGGTTACGTGCAAGAGTACAGCACGAATTTTTTTTAGCACTTGCATAGCACACTGTTGAAGCAAATCTACCGTCGCTCGAACAAGAGAAATGTGGACGTGCAAATCATGAAGCACCATGAAAAATGGCTAGGCGTGTGGGAAGACGAAGAGTCGGACACTAAACACGAGACCGCCATGGCAACGGTAAGTATATTCAAGCACATGTTGGCCGAGCCAAATTTCAGCCATAGCGTACTTTCAGGCAATGAGTGAGCCCCTTTTCACTGCAGGCAATTGAAAAAGGCGTGCGCGTCATGACCAAGGAATCTTATTTTTTCCCCGTGGACCCTGTGGATGCGACTGAGCACCCCAACGATTTCGTGAAAGAGTGGAGCGAGCAGCACCCCGAGGCACATGCCAAGTTCAAGCGGGCACTTGCACGGGTGAACTTGTCGCCCACCAAGGTTCGGGTAAGGATTGCCTTCCATGCTCATTCGTGATTGCAAATTCCACTTTGCTGACATTTGTTGCCCTAACCACCAAGGCAATGGCAACTCCCCTCCCCCCCACCTCCACCCCCCTCCCTCTTCTTCCAATGCCTCACTGCATCGCATCCCTCTTTCCCTCACTCCAGCACAGGGTTCACCCGGATTTGCAGGGAACCCGGCTGGAGCCACCAAATCCACCATCCCAAATCAACCGGATTTCCCCCTTCCCCATTCACCCTACCCCCATGCACCCCCCTACCTTGCCCTCTCTCCCTATTTCCTTGTTCCCCTCAGATGTGCCACCTGGGGGCAACTCCAAGGCATGGGAAGACCTCTGCAAGACATTGGCACCCAACACTCTGCAAACTGAGTTGCAGAAACAGCAAGGGGCATAATAATGCCCCCTGCCCCACTTCATCCCTCTCTCCCTCACTCCAGCCCTGGCCCTCCCGGGACACACAGGGGTGCAACTCTAGGCCGGCAGTGGGGCTGTTGATTCCCCATCCCCCCTTCTCTAATGCACCCCTCTCTCCTGCCCTCTCTCCCTATTTCCTTGTTCCCCTCAGATGTGCCACCTGGGGGCAGCTCCAAGGCATGGGAACACCTCTGCAAGACAACTAGTACCCAACACTCTACAATCTGAGTTGCAGAAACAGCAAGGGGCATGATAATGCCCCCTTCTCTCTTTCCCACCCTGCCCCACTTCATCCCTCTCTCCCTCACTCCAGCCCAGGCCCTCCCGGGACACACAGGGGTGCAACTCTAGGCCGGTAGTGGGGCTATTGAGTCCTCTCCTACACGACCCCCTAGGAACCTAGCTAGAGCACCCTTTTTCCATTCCCAAACCCATCCACCTTTCCCCTTCCCCATTCCCCCTTCTCTAATGCACCCCTCTCTCCTGCCCTCTCTCCCTATTTCCTTGTTCCCCTCAGATGTGCCACCCGGGGGCAGCTCCAAGGCATGGGAACACCTCTGCAAGACAACTGGCACCCAACACTCTGCAATCTGAGTTGCAGAAACAGCAAGGGGCATAATAATGCCCCCTTCTCTCTTTCCCACCCTGCCCCACTTCATCCCTCTCTCCCTCACTCCAGCCCATGCCCTCCCGGGACACACAGGGGTGCAACTCTAGGCCGGCAGTGGGGCTGTTGAGTCCCCACCTGCACGACCCCCTAGGAACTTGGCTGGAGCACCCCTTTTCCATTCCCAAACCCATCCACCTTTCCCCATCCACTCAGATAAGAAGTAATACCCCTCCCCCCTTCCCCCCCTCACAGTTTCCCTCCATGACTCACTGCATCCCCCTCACCCTCACTCCAGCCAACCCCCTGCAAAGGACCCTCAGGAGTGCTCCTCTGGGCTGGCCCTAGCCTTGTTGAGACCCCACCTGCACTAGCCACTTGGAAACTGGCTGGAGCACCCCTTCTCCGTTCCCATACCCATCATCCTTCCAACCCTTCCCCATTCGCCCTAACCCCATCCACCACTCTCTCCTGCCCTCCCTATCTCCCGTCTTCCTTGAGATGTGGCATGGAGATACCACAGTTTTTTCTAGCTAAACCTGGGTGCGGCCCTAATGACATAAGAGTGTTATCCAGAGCATAACGATGGTTTTCATGCATTGTCGCAGACGCACACAACAATGGCGATTCCCTTAGCCCAAGGAGAGCACTTTTCGCGCGTTGCACACTTTGTGAAGGCTGCCCCCCATTCGTACTCGAGGCCATGGTTCTCAGACGTGGCCATCATGGGGACAGCACCAGACGGGGGAGATGTTGAATGGTATGGGAAGCTGTTGCTCCTGTTTCACACCAAGGAGAGGGGTTGCAAAAGGGAGTTGGCGTACGTGAGGTACTGGACCAAAACGGGCGAGGATGCGAAAACGGGATGCACTCGACTTGCATGGACGACAACCCTTACCAAGTATTATGTGGTCAACGTCGATGCGATTTATTGCGGGGTCCACGTTATCAAGGCATTTCATAGCGACACCACTTATTTGCTTAACAAATACCAACTTAGATAGTGTAGTGAAAGCATGCATCTGCGTAGGCATGTTATAAAATAAATATGTTTTAGAACACAAGTTACTTTGGTTTCTGTTAATCAGATTTACAAATTATATAAATACATGTAATAAAATAACAAGTCTCAAAGAGCAAAGCATGATCTACACAACTTTAAACAATCTATAATTGGACCAAAATTGGTCCGAATTTGCCTTGTCATACAATAACAAAGCAGGCCTAAAATGGGAACAACCCTGGCCTGAATTTGCCAGGCCTAACCCTCGGTCAGAATCTGACGCGGCTCGATGTGCAGGGCGTCAGACTCAATGTGACCAAATTTTGACGCGCGACCAAGAGCAGACTGCGCTTCGACGAAAACAGGGTTTCCTTGCGCAAACCAAACAACCCAACCTCGAAAATGTTCCCAACCCCCCCAGATTGGAAACGCGGGTTTTTTGTGATGGATGCATCTCACGAGCTTATTGGCCCGAAGGTGCGGTGTGTCGGGTGCCAGATGTGGAATAATAACGGTGGTTGAAATATGATACGGCCATGCCTCCCTAGAAATTAGTATCTGCAAACATTGCATCAGCATTGTATTCCGGTGTTTGGATGCGACTTTATGATGCACGCTAGCGTAGTACAACCGAATGAAGAGAGAAACAAATAACTTCGTTGACTGCTAACTTCGTTGTCCTGTCCCGTTGCGCTCGTCGCCGCAGGCAAACACGATCCAGTGGCGGTAAACCCCGCAGCATGGGCGCAGCTCCAGCAGCTCCCCCCGTCCAACCGCCAGCACACATCGGTGCTTCCCAAAAGCGGAAGCCTGCAGGGCAGTGGCACGGCGACGGACGGCGGAAAGAAGGGGGCGGCGGCGGAGCTGGCGCAAGTAGACCTGCGCGCGCTGAGCCACGCGCAGCGGGAGCGGCTGGTGGAGCGCGCGCTGGAGACGCTCGATCAGGACAACGAGGCGTTCCTTACTAAGCTTAAAGCCCGCCTCGACCGGTGAGGTTCTCTACAAGGCCGGCTGAGCATCGCCGCCGCGGAACCGCGGGCGACAAGACGTTGGAAGACAGTCGGGGGATCGCTGGGAAAGCTTGGAGCCGAGCCGCATGGCTCCTTTCTTGAGAGAAGTTGCTGTGAGAAATTGCATTGACGGGTTGCATCGAGATGTCATGAGGGGAATGCAAGGTGTGATCAACGTTACTGTTTCAGAGAAAGTACGGGATGCGGTTTTGAATGCGCTTTGCTGTGCGTAATCTAACCTTCCCTCCTTCCTCTTCCCCCCCTTCGCCTCCTTTCCGCTCCCATCCCTCCCTCCTCCCTCCTCCTAAACCTGCGCCGCGGAATGTCATCCAATCGCGAGCAGCGGGGGGCTGGCCGTGCTGGCGGTGGAGGTGCGCTTCGAGGACGTGAACGTCGAGGCGGGCGTGTACGTCGGCACGCGCGCGCTGCCCACGCTCCTCAACTTCACGCGAAACTCGATCGCCGTGAGTCGCACTCGATCGCCGTGAGTCTCGCTCGCCGCGAATCGCATTCGCGCGCCGTGAATCGCACTCGCCGTGAGTCGCACTCGCCGTGAGTCGCGCTCGCCGTGAGTCATGCGAGCAGCTTCCCTCGCATTTCCCGGTCGCCTGCGCACATTCGCACTTCACTCCCTGATCCCCCAATGTCGCTCTTTCGTTTTAATCATCCTTCTTCCCACCCCTCCCCACACCCTTCCTCAGGCCACGCTGCACCTACTGGGCGTGGAGCTGGATGCGCGCCGCCCGTATCCGTTTCAGAAGTCTTCGCCTTGGATCTTCCTCTTCCTCCTCACCCACCCCCCACCCTCCCCAACCCTCCCCCCCCCGGTTCCTCCTCAGGCCGCGCTGCACTCACTGGGCGTGGAGTTGGATGCGCGCCGCCCGTATCCGATCCTGCATGGGTGCTCGGGCGTGCTGCGACCGAGCCGCATGACGCTGCTGCTGGGACCGCCAGGCGTTGGCAAGTCAACGCTCTTGCAGGCGCTCGCTGGATGTCTCGATAAGTCGCTCAAGGTGCGTTCTTTGTAACGGGATGTGAGTGAAGGCAACATTGCGCGCAGAGTTGATCACCGATATTTTAATTCTCTAGTAACTGTCGAGAAACCCACTAAAAGCTTATGAAAAATAGCTGGGGGTTTCGGGGTCTCACAAGAGTGACGTTGGCCTAAGTCGGAATAGACGTGTTTACGGTATATGCGCTATTCGCCTAGAGAGTGGATTCAGAATACGCCAGGTCGTGGGATAAATCTTTCTGACTAGGTCATGCCTTCACATCAACTCAAGTCCCGATGACGGTTGGCGAAGGAGGCAGAGCAGGCATCGGCGCCTGTGGGAGTGGTGGAAGTTGGCGAGAACTAGACGAAAGCGGGATTGAAAGCTACAAATGACGTCTTTAGGGTTGGGCTGGCTGGTAAGTAGCGTGAGAGGTTTGCTGAGACCTCGTTTTGACGGGTTGGGGTTCGTAGATGGAGTAGGTTTCAGTGCGATACAGTTGTGACTTCGTCCGCAAAAAACTTCGAAGCCACATTTTGACCGACTAGAGGGCCGATTTGCATTTCTAGTTAGGCAAAACGCTTAGCGGGATATCCGTCTTTTCTATCACATTTGCGTTTTTGTTCTCGGACGGCCCAAAAAAAATTAGTGTGTATGAGATTTATCCGCTATACGCTTGGGGGCCTGAGCGTATGTGCCAGCAACAAAGGTCTGGGTGACCTCCATTGAGGCTCAAAACCCTTAGCGCTTCTCCCCCTCCTCCCCTTCCCTTCCCTTCCCTCCTCCCCCTCCTTTTCCCTCTATCACAGGTATCAGGCAGCGTGACCTATAACGGGCATGCTCTTAACGAGTTTGTACCAGAGTGCACAGCAGTGTACGTGCCGCAGAACGACGAGCACATCGGCGAGATGACCGTCCGGGAGACCCTCGACTTCTCCGCGCGCCTGCAGGGCCCGGGGCTCCGGAAAGGTGCGTGTGTGCGCGTGTGGGGGGGGGGGGGGGGTTGAGGTTTAGCAAAGGAAAGACCCTCGACTTCTTCGCGCGCCTGCAGGGGCCGGGGCTCCGCTAAGGTGGGTTGACTGAGACGTGTGTGGGGTGGGGGGGTTGTGTTGGGAAGGATAGTGGGTGTCTGTGCGTCTGTGCCACAGCCCCTTGACTTCTCCGCGCGCCTGCAGGGCCCGGGGCTGCGCAAAGGTGCGCATGTGCGAATGTTGGGAAGGGGAAGAATGGTGGGCTGCTGGATGGGTGGGTTGCGCTGGGGTTTGGGTTAGGGGGGTTGTGCAGACTCCTCTGCGTGCCTGCAGGGTCCGGGCCTACCAAAATGTGTGTGGGAAAGAGGGTTCTTCTTTGTGTTTGAGTCCATTTCCTGTTTCCGCTGGCCTTTTCTCTCTATTTCTTCCACTAATACTCTCACGGTTTCACCCCACTCAGCTATCCCCATAGCCTCCATTCCCCCTCTCCGTCCACCCCCCCCTCTCCCCAACATTCCCCCTTCTCTATCCCGTTCACCCCCGCACCCCCTGGTGGTGCAGAACTAGTGGCGGAGCTGGAGAGGCGCGAGGCGGAGAAGGGCATTGTGCCAGACCCTACTATGGACGCCATCATGAAGGTAAGGTGCTATGATGGCAGCATGAAGGTGGGTAGTGTGTTCGTGCGCTGTTGAGCGTATGGTGCTGTGATATCGGGTGAACATTTCGGCGTGTGGGAATTCACTCTGTTGATCTTTTGCTTGCCTGCCTTCACCCCTGGTGCTCCACATACCACGTATCTTCCATCCCTTGCTGTCCATATCACTATTAATCCTCCATGCTACTCCGGCCCCCCACTTCACCTCTCTCCATGCTACTCCGGCCCCCCACTTCACCCCTCTCCATGCTACTCCGGCCCCCCACTTCACCTCTCTCCATGCTACTCCGGCCCCCCACTTCACCTCTCTCCATGCTAGGCGATGGCACTGGAGGGCAATCCCACAAACATCATCATGGACTATGTGCTCAAGGTGAGGCTGATGGGGGTGGTGGTGCTGAGGATGGTGATGAGGATGGTGGTGAGCATGGTGGTGAGGTGAGGCTATGTGCTCATTGTGATGTCAGACAGGATAGGTGGTAGCATGTTTAGAAATTACCAGGTGTAAAGGTTTCTGAGACAAGCTATTTCTCAGATTGTCTCACAATCATGCCAAGTGGTCAGGTAATGGGAGAGTGCTTAACATGCTACAGATTGAACTCACTCTCCCTGCTCCCGCCGCTTTCCCCCCCTTTCCCTCTCCCCCCCGTGTCAGATTCTAGGCCTGGACATCTGTGCGGATACAGTGGTGGGAAACAACATGCTACGCGGCATCTCAGGCGGGCAGAAGAAGCGGGTCACCACAGGCGTATCCCTGGTGGGCGGGCAGCAGGTGCTGCTTATGGACGAGATCACCACGGGGCTCGACTCCTCCACCACCTTCCTCATCACGCGCTGCCTGCGCCACCCCACGCACCTCCACGCCACCACCACGCTCGTGGCTCTCCTGCAGCCCGCCCTCGAGACCTACCACCTCTTTGACGACGTGCTGTTTCTTGCAGAAGGGCACGTGGTGTTCCACGGGCCCAGGGAGGACGTACTTCCCTTCTTCTCCCGCCTCGGCTTGGAGTGCCCTGCCAGGAAAGGCGAGGCGGATTTCCTGCAGGAGATGACGTCGATGAAGGACCAAGGGCAGTACTGGAGGGGGGGCGCGGCTGGGGCAGATGGTGGGGCGGGCGGGAAAAGCCAGCCATACCACTATGTGCCGGTGCAGGCGTTTGAGGCGGCGTTCAAGGAGACGGAGATCGGCAAGGCCACTGCTGCCCACCTCTCGGTGCGTACCCATTGCTGATTTGCGCACATAATTTTCCTCCTTAGCCCCATGCTTGTCCCTTAGTCCCACGATTGTCACCTGCACCGACTCAGCTACTGACCATGGAGGAGGCCCTTAACAGACCAGATAGGGACAAGTGGCTAGTGTCACGAGATGCTGAATATAATATTCAAATGGATAATGGGACGTGGGAGCTAATGCCACTGCCATTGGGGAAGAAAGCCATAAATTGTGGCTGGATTTCTAGGATTAAAACTGACAAAAAAAGGGTGGTGTCAGTTTACAAGAGCAGGCTGGTTGCAAGGGGATACCAACAGAAAGAAAGGGAGGATTACAAGGAGACCTCTGCTGCAACTGCGAAGCCGCCAACACCGCGTGTTTTACTTGCCGGTGCAGTCGTGTGTGGGTGGGTGATAGTTCAGATGGATATCACCACTGCCTTTCTTTATGGGCTGATAGATGTGGAGGTGTTCATGTCGCAGCCGCCGGGTTATGAGGATGGTACCGGGCGTGTATGCAAGCTGAAGAAGGCCATTTATGGCCTCAAACAAGAACCACGATGCTGGTACAAGAAGTTGTCTTCGGTATTAGAGGAGATGGGCTTCAGGGCGTGTGCATGTGACAAGAGCCTTTTCCTCATGGGGGAGAAGGAGACCCTCGTCATGTTCCTGGTCTATGTCAACGACATCCTGCTGTTGCAGTAGCTGCTGGAGGGGATTGGTGTGAGAGGACGTCCCCGTTATAATATTTTCTCACTATTATATTTTTCCGTTATCCCATTCTCCCTTTTCTCCTCTTTATTTTGATCTTTATCTCATCTCAATCGGCCTACTATTCTATTTTCTAGAGCCTTCTATTTATTTCTCTTATTTCCTACTTTTCCCACCGACATACCTATTATACGGCACCGACAGCGCCGACAGTGGTGTATACGGTGTAATCTGGGCGTAATCCCAAGTGCCAATAGACTTGCGTGCTTATGCGCACTTGTGATTGTAGTATCGGGAAGGGTGTGTTCCCGAAGGTTCGTTTTATCTCGTTTATCCTTGTACTTTCCGAGTATAAATATGCCTTGTATTCAGTTTTAGTGACTAAGTTTCGATTGAGAATTCGATCCTGTGACACTTGGTAATCAGAGCCGTTCTCACTCGACAACTCTCGGCTAAGCAGCGGTCGCGGAAAAAATCGCCTCGAAAAACCGCCGGGGGCGACCAATTCGACGCCGATTTCTGGTAAGTACCAGTTCCGCGCTTTTCGAATTAACCCCCTCGCGTGGTTTTTGAACAGGATGGGTTCGCCGGCGACCAACGACGTTACGCAGCAGCTCTTCGCGCAAATCGCCAAGATGGAAGCGGAGATGCGAGCGACGACTGAATGGTCGCGATTGGAGAACGAGCAGCTGCGAAACGAACTGCAGCGCGTTACGCGGCTCCTCTCGACCATGAACATTCCTGCTTCAACGACTTCGCAGCAGTCGCAGCGTCAGTTCGAGGTTCCGAAACTTCGCTCGCCGGAATCGTTCGACCCTAGCGATCGAAAATCCGACGTCAGGCGGTGGCTCGCGACGATGGAAATTTATTTCGCGGCGATCGGATTGACGACAACGGAGTACGACGTCGAGAAAATTCGTCTCGCGACAACGTTGATGCGCGGTCCAGCTCTCGAGTGGCTCGGAAGCAACAGTAGCATTTTCCAGGGCGAAGCCACGTGGCACCAGTTCCGGGCAGACCTTCTCAAACGTTTTGAGCCGATTAATTCCACTTATATTGCGCGCGAAAAATTGTCAGAACATATAGCTTACCTGTTTGTGTAGGCTACAGTGGGGTATCCCATAAGGGGTACAACACAATTAGGTTTCCTATTTGTACTCATTCTTGACTTAGTCAATTCATTCCTCTTCTCACTGTTTCACAAAAATTACATCACCATAGGCAATACGGGAGTGTCGCGCAATACACGCAGCAGATGGAGGAATTTTATAATCGCATTCCCGACATTACCGAGGGCGAAAAAATTCAGTCTACATCGCGGGGCTGAAAACCGACATTCGGCGCCAGGTTGCAGCAGCAAATTGCAGCAGCTACAGCGAAATCGTATCGGCCGCGGAGCGTTTTGACTTGGTCAACTCCGGGACACGACGACCCCACGTCGTCGGATCACGACAAGGGGATCGCTCGGCTTCAACCACGTTCGCCGACCCCATGGAAGTCGACAAATTCGACGCGAGTTCACGTCCTGCAAAAAACAAAACACTTTGCGAATTTTGCGGCGGAAACGGACATCGGATTGTCGACTGTTTTCACATGAAATCTGCACGTGCGGCATTCCGAGCTCGTGGGAGTGGCAAAACTAAAAACAAAAAGTCAAAAAAACGGATCTCGCCAGTGATTGCGGATCGTGCTGGCGAGAAAAAACAGATCCGAAAGCGTCAGCGCAATCTGGACCGAATCGAAATTGAAGGACAGCATTGGGCGCGAGATTTGGAGAATCAAGGGCGAAATCCCAAGCCCCTTGACCGAAATTTGTCAGAGGAATTCGCCGAGGAAAAGAAAACCTCCGCCAAAACAGACTCGACCAAGACGGGAACTCTCCAATTCGACCCCGGGAAAAAACAGAATTCGTTAAAGTTATCTTTCAAAGATGCTTTAATGAAGACTAGCGTTTTTCGCGGGTCCGGAGCCATAAACAAATTCCGGGAAGAACTCCAGAGGAAGCAGACAATTAAAGAAGTGGTACCGGTGCCTACGGAGCTGGGGAAAAAATTAAGGAGTGTGGAAAGGAGTAGACCTTTTCACGGCGTCAACGTCCTCTCCCGGAACCAGCCCAAGACGACTCTCCACTCCCCAGGGAAAAAGTCTATGGAGCTGAAGCAGCTGAAGAGGCAGCTGGGAGTTCAAAAGAAGCTGCAGAAACTCCGAAAACCCCTCAAGGATGCATCCAGTGGATCGCAGGCGTCGACCGGATCCACCCCCTCAGGGTCAACTTGTACGGTTACTACCTCTACTCCTGGCATTGGAGAAGAGCCTTTCTCCACGCAGCCCAGGCCAGCTAGTTGTCCAGAAGAAAGCAGTGGAACCACGGTGTGTACTGAATATTGGGATGTACCCTATGATCCTATTAATGAGACTATTTTTGGGTACTCCGAGCAACGCTCACCACTCCTGCTCGAGGTGATCTGCAACGGACAGCGCCTCCAAGCACTCGTGGACAGCGGAGCGTCGCACAACGTCTATGACAAAAAGGCAATCGATCGACTCGGAGGTGACATCAAGTCCTCAAGCTTCTCTGCAACGATGGTGGATGGCAGTAAGCTACCTATCTACGGAAAAACACGGTTGCTACTCCAGATTGGACCCCTTCGATGGAAGCCTGCTCTCCCCGTCACAAATATCAAAGGACTCGACGTAATCTTCGGGAGAGACTTTCTTAAAAAGTTCAACCCCGAGATCAACTGGGTTAACCAGACGGCCAACATCAACAACAACGGGAGGAAAATCAGCCTTCCCAAATGGGACGACACGGGAAATATTCCAGTCGAGACACTCTCACGCTTTGAAAAGGACGTCAAACGGACCACAGCGGGATTCATGGCGATAGTCAACGAGGCAGACAACGGAGAGAAGCAGACCCAGGAACTTCCTCCAGCAGTCAAGAAAATTCTTGAAGAGTTCCAGGACGTTCTCCCCGACGATTTACCTGATCAACTACCGCCATACCGGACACATCAACACGAGATCGTAGAAGAGCCGGGGTCCAAGCCAACATTTCGAGCACCATACCGGCTGAGCCCGACAGAGCTTGCCGATATGAAAAAACAAATAGAGTATCTCCTGGAGAAAGGGCTGATTCGACCTTCGACTTCGCCGTACGGAGCTCCAGTTCTCTTCACTCCGAAGCCAGACGGAAGTCTGCGAATGTGCATCGACTACCGAGCCTTGAACAAGCAGACTGTAAAAAATAAATACCCGATACCACGGATCGACGACTTACTCGATCAACTTCGCGGTGCTACGGTATTCTCCAAGCTCGACCTCAGATCGGGATACTGGCAAATTCGTATGGCGGACAACTCTATCCACAAAATCGCTTTTCGAACTCGGTACGGGTCATACGAGTATCTCGTGATGCCATTCGGACTCACTAACGCACCAGCCACATTTCAGGCGGAAATGAACCACATCCTTCGGCCCCTTCTGGACGAGTGCGTGGTGGTATATTTGGACGATATCCTGATCTACTCGAAAGATATGAAGCAGCACGTTGAGCATCTACGACGGGTGTTTGAAATTCTTCGATGAGAACGCTTCTACGTGAAACTATCCAAGAGCGAGTTTGCGTTGGAAAAGTCTCGTTCCTTGGACATATGGTGAGCGCTCAAGGAGTTCACGTGGATCCTAAGAAGATCGAAGCAGTGCGAACGTGGAAGACCCCTGAGAACGTGAAGGAGTTACAACAGTTCCTTGGATTCGCCAACTACTACAACCGGTTCGTACCGAACTACGCCAAGATTGCCGCACCATTAACGAACCTGTTGAAGAAGAATACACCATATCAATGGGAGGCGAAGCACCAGGAAGCCGTGGAACAACTTAAAACCGCACTCACGTCCGCACCTGTTCTTATCCTGCCAGACACTGAACTTGACTATGTCATCGAGGCCGATGCTAGCGATCAAGCAGTGGGCGCAGTACTCATGCAGGATCAAGGGAAGGGACTGCAACCCATTGCATACCTCAGTAAAAAACTTCACGGGGCAGAACTCAATTACCCCATCCATGACAAAGAGGCCCTCGCCATCGTCAACGCATTTAAGGCATGGAGGTGTTATCTCGAAGGAAGAAAAACGACTGTCTACACCGACCACTGCAGCCTCAAGTACCTGAAGACCCAACCAACACTCTCCAGGCGGCAGGTCCGGTGGATTGACTTTCTCGAAACCCACTTCCATTACGACATCGTGTATAAGCCGGGGCACAAGAACAAGGCAGACGCACTGAGTCGCCCTGCACACGTTGCCG